CCGGATGCCGCTGGGTTCACGTCCCACTACGGGACGGTCCCGAGAAAACGCAGGTTTCAACTGGGCCGGACGGCAGTCTTTGATTTTACTGGGTACCTGAATGTCTGAGCGTGTGTCTACAGTGTCCTTAAGTTTGCCGGTGTCTGTTTCTTAGCCGGGCTTGTCCGTGCTCTTGATTTTTGTGCTTCTGTATATCTGCACATGCGTCTGATTATTTCTGAGTGAGTGCTAGTGCCGTTGTGTCCCAATGTCTCGGAGTGTGCATATCTGTGTACCAACCAGAGTGAGGTCTCCCTGGGAATGTAGGAGTCTGAGGTGGCCGACTGGGAAGAGTAGGCACTGTCACCCACCCCTTTGCCACTCCATATTTTTACAGACACTGCTGGAAAAAGGAGGAAAAAAAAAGTTTGTTTTTTTTTTTTTCTCTTTCCAGCAGGGCTCCCCTTTAGATGGAAATTTTCTTAACTCCTAGATTTCAAGGCTCTCCTCACCCCCACCAGGACTTTACCTCCTGTTCTACGAACCCATTTTTTTTTTCTTTAATGGGAAGCATTACTTAGTCTCTGACCCTCACCCCCAAACATACTTTCCTCTAATTGCCATGTAGCAGGCCTGAGGTTAAAGGATAAGCCAGCCCAGCAAGGATGAGGTGCTACAGTATTTATTTATTTTGGAAGGAAGGGTGTAATTAGCCCTAAATAACAGCCCTTGCAGCCTGCAGAGGGAAGCCTCCTGGCCCTATCAAAGGCAGGCAGAACAGGGAGGGACTGGGGCTGACATGAAGTCACAGATACCGAAACTATGTGCCTGATAATGATATAATTAGGGGATCAGAGATTTCTGGCTGCTGCGGACTTCAAAAGCTTTATTTAAAAGAAGCCAGCAGCCTGTGCTGTAGCCATCTTGACTGAAGCAGGCATTTTTGTTTAATCACTACATACAGTAACTTAGAAAGGGGCAAACAGAAGAGCATTGTTCACTGTTTTAAAATACCAGTCCCCTCTTGGCCTTTGCATGCCACAGGAAGAAACCTTATGAAATGACAGAAATATAGTTTTAATACAGTAATACAAAAGTCCATTCTCCTTGTTGAAATGTGGCTCCAATTTTTTTAAGTCTTAGAACTTTCCCAGTTACCTGTCAAAATTTTATTAAGACTGTTTTAGGTCATTGAAAATACAGCATTTTAAATAGGCTCTCATAAACACTGGAGCAGCATTTTACTTGTATTTGGTTTCCCCCTTCTGCACCAAATCTGAGGCTAATAGGCTCAAAGTAGACTTTTAATCTGTTTTACTTCCACTTTAAATCTGTATAGAATTTGTCAGGCCAGGGATCTGTAGTCATTATCACCTAGGACTGGCGTAGTTTTATGCAAAGAATAGGCTGAACTTGGAAGGAGTTGGTGAAAGCAGAAAGGGATCGCTGCAGAGTTAAAGTTCCTACTGCAGTGGAGGAAGCTGGAGAAGGGACCTGGACCCACAACTGGGATAGCAAGGTTTGGACTGGCTGGCTTTTCTTCCAGCTGAAGTGTGAGCAGCCTGGGTGAAAACTGAGCTCACCATGTGGTGGCCTGGAATTTGGACAGATAATTAAATGAGACACCTTACTCAGGCATTCACAGAAAGGAGGAGAAAGAGAGGTGAGGCTGGGGGGAGGTTTGGAAAAGCTGCAGCTCTCAGTGTTGAATGTCAGAGTGGAGGTTTCAATAACTAGACAGATCTTCCGATTGGGACCTGGGACGGGGTGTGTGCATTCGTTTGGTTTACAGTAGCGTGAGCTGTGGCAGCCAACAGTGATGGGCGTCCACCCCATTGGGCATCTCAGTTTCTCGTGATAGATAACTTTCAGGTCCACATCCAAGTTTGAAATCTTGCGTTGTGACAAGATGTTAACAGAGCCTTGCAACTCACAAAGTGAGTTTTATAAAGGAAACTTTAATCACTTCCTGGAGAAAAATTTGAGGTTTCCTTAAGGATTTTTCCTTCAACCAGCAGAGGATTTTCAGTTTCAAGTTTCCCCTTTTAGGTCACATGTTAAATTACATGTAAAGCTGAGGAGGAGGAGGGGAGGAGGTGAAGTTACCCTTGCAGTTTTTCATCCCCCACTTTATAACTTTCCATTTGGGCTGAAAGAAATTGACTTTGGCAAGCAAACCACTAATTGTAAACTGCCTAGTTCCTGTTTTACAATGCTCAGACTAAAAGCTCCTCTGCGTGAAAGGATCTTTATAGGCAAAGTTTGCCTTTTCTAGAGAGATCGCAGATAGCTGCCCAGTTGCATAGTTTGAAAACCCCCTGACCTGTGCAGTTTCTACGTTGTTTTGTGTCTAGTTAATAACTTTATTTTTTTGGTTGTGAGCCTAGCCTTTAACGGCTGAGCTATCCCTCCAGCCCTAGTTAATAACTTTATAAGGTGTCAGCTCAGACTCTTAAAACTTGGCTCAGTCCTCTGGGATGCCAAACAATTCAGTAGTTCCGATCAAATATTTATATAGATAAAACCCCAAAGCCTGACGTTTTTTATGTTGTGTGGTTGTATAGCATAAAAACACATAAATAACACGATTCTACCTTATAACAAAAGACAATATAGCAAAGACTCTTTGCATTCAAACCACAACCATTTCATTACTCCTAACTCATCAGAAATCTGTTGTTGGGTTTCATATATTCCTAACAGTTAGCTTGATGGAACTTGGAACACTGCCTATTTTGGGAGCATCTCTGTCCCCGTGGGCTGCTGTTGCCAACACTCATCTTGAAAACCTACAATAAGTGCCTTTGAGTTCGGGGTTCAGCCGAAGCTTACATAGTTTCTTTGTTTTCAGGAGAGATTCGATGCTACTGTGATGCTGCTCACTGTGTGGCAACGGGTTACATGTGTAAGTCTGAGCTGAATGCCTGCTTCTCCAGACTTCTCGACCCTCAGAACACCAATTCTCCACTCACTCATGGCTGCTTGGACTCACTTGCCAGCACAGCAGACATCTGCCGAGCCAAACAGGCCCAAAACCACTCTGGCCCCGCCATGCCCACGTTGGAATGCTGTCATGAAGACATGTGCAATTACCGAGGGCTGCATGATGTCCTCTCTCCTCCCAAGAGTGAAGCCTCAGGTAGGTTCCAAGCTGTCCTGACCCAAGGGCCTGCCTGATCTATAGGCCTGTGACAGCAGCGACTTTGTATGTCTGCTATTGATTTTGTTGTTAATGTAATTAGAGACACCAGAGGGAGAGCATGGGTGAATGCAAAGACCGTCTCTAACTGAGTGGCTTTTATGTCTGCCTGAGCATTAGATGTCTCTGCATAATAGGCTTTGCCTGTTATTTCAACATTTTGAGGACATTAAAAGACCATTACATCCAAGTAATGACAGCCTGTAAACAAATGCATTTGTAAGCATCTTTGGGTACTTTTGTAACATGTCATTTCTTGAAATGCTTGGTAAGTTGCTGTTTAAGTGGGCTTTCTTATGGGAAGTGATGGTATGTTCGTGCTTGCTTCTAGGACAGGTGATCACCCGGCTTATTTGACCATTTTCTCTGTACTCCCTTAGGACAAGGAAACCGGTACCAGCATGACAGTAGCAGAAATCTCATCACTAAGGTGCAGGAGCTGACTTCCTCCAAAGAACTGTGGTTCCGAGCTGCAGTGATAGCAGTCCCCATTGCTGGTGGGCTGATTTTAGTGTTGCTCATTATGTTGGCTTTGCGAATGCTCCGAAGTGAGAACAAGAGACTGCAGGATCAGCGGCAACAGATGCTCTCTCGTTTGCACTACAGCTTTCACGGACACCATTCCAAGAAGGGTCAGGTTGCGAAGTTGGACTTGGAGTGCATGGTGCCCGTCAGTGGGCAGGAGAACTGTTGTCTGACCTGTGACAAAATGAGGCAAGCAGAGCTCAGTAATGAGAAGATCCTTTCCCTCGTGCACTGGGGTATGTATAGTGGTCATGGGAAGCTGGAATTCGTATGACAGAGTCATATCTGAACTGTAAACTGAACCCTTGAAGGCCTTCTGAGTTCTGCTGGACAGGAGCACTTTTATCGAGACAAACTAACTCGCTTAGTCATTTTGGAGAGACCAAATGACCTCTGCAAAGAGAATCTTGGGTATTTCTTCTGAAGGATTATTTGCACAGACTCAAATACAGTCAAATGGATTAATTTGCTTTAAAATTATAAAAAGCAAAGAGAGGACTCTGCACACACTTTCCCAGGGCTCTTTGTATCCCAGGGAGCCACGACTGACCGAAATAAACAGTTGTGCTCTCTGTAAGCTCCTACATCTTCATTTATTGTAAAGATTTTTTAAAATATATATATTTTTGTCCGAAAATTTAGTGGTGTCTTTCATAAATTATAAACTTGGGGTGTGGGGAGGCTGGTGGTTGTGTAACACAATGGTAGAATGCTTGTCTAGTGTACATGAAGTGCCTTGGGTTTGATTATCCCCAACACCACAGAAAACCAACCAACCAACAAAACATTTGAGTTGGAAGTGTAAGAGAGTAGATGTTAAATTACATGAATGAAGACCTGTTACTCATGCTTCTCAAGTGTAGGTTTTGGCTTCATTTTGATTTTGTTCATTCTTACACAAACCTGTGATTAATTGTCTTTGTGGAATATCCATTGTCTAGTGTCTCACCTATGCTGTTTTCCAGAATGATCCTGGTTTTAGTTTTCATCTAAGAACTTTTTTTTTTGTTTGTGCTGAGGGTTGTCTCTGGCCCCTAGCACGCTAAGCGCACAGTCCACCACTAAGCTACAGCCCAAGCCCTAAGAATTCTTCACTCACTATGCCAGACCAGATATGACTTGAGTTTCTGAAGTTGCCATAACAAAAGAAATATTTTATCAGTTCCATCCACTCTGTTCTGCAAGGACCTTTTAATTATGTCCACCTCCCTCCAACTGAAGAATGTCTTTAGTAAGGTTAACCACTGTCTACTTTGACAGTTTATTTTGTCTCGAACCAAATTAAATATTTTGTCTCCCAAATTAGCCAGACTTTATTATGCAATGCTCCTGGTCTTTAAACATGACTATACTTACAGTATCTGTTTCTAAATGTCTTTTCAATCCTTAAGAAGGGTTTCAGTGGTGAATGTCAGTAAATTGACATTTTAATAACACAACTATTAGGTTTCCCCCTCATAATGACCCTTTTGCTAATATAACCAAATAGAACATGACAGAACATGATCTTTAGCCAGGAAACTAACATTTGCCTCCTGTAAGACTTTCTTTACCTTGTTTATAGACCTTTCCCTCAAAGGTCTTGCTTATCGTTAATGTGAGAATTTGCCAGTTTTATTTTTTCTCAATTCTTTTGTGTGCCTGGGTTTTTTTTTTTTTTTTTTTTTTTTTTAATTAAATTGAACCTGAAGCCTACATGTTTGAAGATGAGATTTTTGTTGTTGTTGTATTTTTGCATACTTTCAGTAGGACACTTAAGCATAATCTGAGGCTCTTAAAGAGAGGTGCCAAGTATGGAATAATCTGAGTGGAAATGACTAGCAAAGAAATGAGGACCTAGATTTTACCTAGGACTCCTCCCCTCCCCCACTCCCCTTTGGGACAGGGTCTCACTATGCAGCCCTGGCTGTCTTGAAACTCACTGTATAGATCAAGCTGTCCTCCAACTCAGAGAGATCCATCTGCCTTTGCCTCCCAAGTGCTGGGATTAAAGGTGTGTGCCACTATACCCAGTTTATACCTAAGTTATTTTATTGTCAGTAGATGATGACCCCAAACAGGTCGGACTCTGGAATAAATTCCTATCTTAATAAATGACAACGTCCTTATGCTTTTTGAGGTTGACCGCTCTTTCTACCACACACACCTGACAGTTCTTTCGGAAAATACTCAGGTTTTATGTGCACTGTCTGCCATCCTGTTATGTCCTCACTCCCAGGTTTGTCATTTCAAGGGACCAAAGATTTGAACTTCACCATTCAGACCTGGCAAGAGAAGAGAACTGATTGGTTAGAACTGGCAGGTGGTGAATTTCCCACTCTTGGCCTCACTTTTGCTCAGGTTGCAGTCACTTTGTTGCTCAGAGGTTGAGGTGTGGGCACCTCATATATTGTTCTTCCTTTGTTGCATCATGCAAGATCAGCAATCCCCCACCCCCACTAACATCTTTTTTTTTTTTTGACATAAAATCTGACCGTGTAGCTCAGAGGGAACCTCAAATCACCAGCCTCACTCAAGTTAGTCCCCTCACTGCCATGCCTGGATTTTTTTTTTTTTTTAAGTTAGTGCTTTTCAACCTTTGGCTCATATATCAAATATTTACATTATGAATCATAACAGTAACAAAATTACAGTTATGAAGGACCACAGAAGTTTTATGGTTGGGGGTCACCACAACAGAACTGTATTAAAGGGTCACAGCAGAAGGTTGAGGTCCCCTGCTTTAAGAAGTCATCCGTTCTATTAGTGCTATAGAGACACATTTTCCTCTTCTTGCTCCTTGTTCATGAATTTCAAGCAATGTCGAGTGAATTAGCAACTCAGTAGCTCATTAGGAAAAAACAATGAAGGCAGTCTTGAGCTTTGAAACACCTTAGCATCCATGCACAGGGCCCTATAGAAAGGCGAGGGTCTGCTCAGCATGAACTTCTACTGGAAGCTGAGTGCAGTGACTTGTGGATCTGCATTTGTTGGCCTGCCTCCGGTTCTTTCTGGGCACTCTTGAGTCTACCCTAATCTGTTCTGTGGGGTAGGGACTCATGGCCCCTCTGGCTTTTCTGGGGACTCAGTTTTAGCCACGTGACAGACCCCCTTTTCCTGTCAGCAAAGCCTGTGTTTACATTTTGTCTTCACTGGTTGGATCTCTCCACAGCTTGCCGTGTCGATGAAAGGTTTTTCTGCCCTTTGGGTTCCTGGGCACCATGTTCAGGCTGGCTTCTGGCTTCCCTGTAAGAGGAGAGCACTCACAGCAGGAGGCAGGGCTGCCTATCTGCTTTGGTGATCCAAGAATGGTGTGACGATTGGTTCATTAGTTCACTTTTCTCTTAGAGGATTGTGCGCTTATTTTGAGGCGTCTGTGTAAAATTGTGCTACCCAGAACAGTCCTCATTTCAAATGATACAGAGCACTCCCAAAAGTAATTTTCCTTTCCAAGTGGAAATTTGCTCAAACCAGACACAAACGGGCCTATAGATGTTTCTGTATCTATACCCCTTAAGTCCTACCCTTTTTGAAAGAAATTGATCCGTACATGATTTTGTCTTTTATGTTCTTTGCCCTCTTATTTCAGATGGCTCAGAGGCTTCCTAGAAATTGGCTGGTGTGTCTCTAATTTCTGTTGAACTGATTTTATTAAAAACACTGCACCATAGGGGGTTTGACCTTCTAAAATACTAAACATGTCTGCTTTAGAAAATCACAAAGCTTGCCTCTGAAGCGCCCCGCCCGGAAATCTGGTTTCAATATTGGTTGATTATAGGCTAAAAGCTTGAAAGCAGTGGCATCTAGTATCGTAGCTGTAGAAGGGCCCTTCTCAGGGCCAGGACAGCTTTTTCCCCTTACAATGTCTAATTGGTCCTCTTCTGTGCCTCTCAGCCTAAATAACTTTAAACCTCCAGAGCTGTGTGAACTTCAACAAACTGGAAACAAGTTGAATGGTCCATTTTCTTGCCAGGAGAATGGGGACAATAACACAACTTCAGAGAATCACTGTGAACAACATACTATCAGATCTGTATTCAACCTCTCAGGAGTAACAGGGAGATACTGTCATTATTTTTGTAAGAAGAAAAGATGCTGGATAATTCGAGCACTTGGGAGGTAGAGGCAGGAGGATCTCCATGAGTTTGAACCTGGTCTACATAATAGTCCTAGAACAGTCAAGGTCACATTAAGAGACCCTGTTTCAAAATAAAAACAAAACAAACAAACCAAAACCAAAACAACAACAACAAAAAACTGAAAGGAAGTACAAATAAATAAAAGCCCACAACAGAGCATGAAAGTGTCAGTCTCACTGATAGAATACTTGACTAATATGTATGAGGCCTTGGGTTCAATCTCTAGGATGAAGAAAAAAAAATGTTTCTAAAAAGAAGAAAGAAAGAAAGGATGGAAGGAAGGAGGGGAGAAAGAAAGGAAGAGAGAGAGAAAGAAAGAAGGGAAGGTAGAAAGAAATGAAGGAAGAAAGAAAAAAGAAAGTGCCATTAATGCTGGGCACACACCTTTAATCCCAGCTCTTGGGAAACAGAGGCAGGTAGACATTTGTGAGTTCAAATCTAGCTTGGTCTACATGGTAAGTTCCAGGTCAGCTAGGACTATATAATGAGACCTTGTCTAAAAAAAAGAAAAAAGACATCTAGATGAGCTAGATGATCAAGATGGCCTCAACTAGCATTTCCTAAAACTGGGAATGACTGTTTTATATGGTAGGCTGTTTTAATTGATTTTGTACTGTCTCAAATTTGCATCTTGGAGTTGGGTAGCTTTTCAGTAAACTGCAGGCTGTTTTTAGCATTGTTAGTATTCATGTACTATGACTGAGTATGCTTTTCTCGAGCTTATTGGATATTTCAGTTTGTAATTGTTTCCTTTTTGGATAACTGTATGACTGCAGAAAGGATATTTTAATCTCGTGTACTTATTTCCTTTTTGAGTCGCAGATACACTGGTTAATGTTAGGGAGGGGCGGCTAGCATCTCAGTAGCACTTGGATGCTGGTTTCGTTTTGCACAGTCATCACCAGCAGTTAAAACATGCCCATTGGTGCTTTCAGCAAAATACAAGGAACTGCTGTACTGGTTTCTCAGATTTTGTCATGGAGCAGGGGCTTGTAAGAGATGAATTATTTAATTTCTTGGGAAAGGGGTGTTAGTCTGGTATGTTGCTCTTCGGGCCACAGTTATAACTGAAAAGTTAAGTGCTGGGCTGTCAACTCACCCTGAGTCCCTCTACCCAACTCATTCTATATTTTGTATTCTATACCCAACTCTATATAAGTCTATTCTATATTCTATACCAATTCATTCTGTCAGTTACCTGACTCATAAAAGCGGTCATTGGTCTGAGAAGCCAAGATGCCGTTTATACCCTCTTCTAATTTTAGTGAGCTGTTTATTTGGGGTGTGGCTTACACGCTAAACATGTCCTCCTGGATCTGCTAACAATGAACTGTACTGCAGCTTGCACTGTGATTTGCTTTTCTCATTTGAGAAATTTGGAAAAGGGTGAAGCTGAATTTAATTGATAGGAATTTATTTCCTGCAGCAAGACAATTTTCCAATGGATCTTCTTTTTAAGAAACCTGGAAGCAGAGATATCTCGGTGGTTAAAACATGGGCTGCTCTTCCAGAGGACGCA